CCTAAACAACTACATCGTAGCTAACAATACATCGGGAGAGCTTGTTAGTGATTTTAGGATTGTTTCCCCTACTTGAACAATTAAAATTGATTATCAAACAAATAGAATAAATTGAATAGAATTTAATGAAGTCAAAATCCCTAGTAGCTTTTAAATCTTGATTTCTTTTAATCAAAATTTACTTTGCTTGATTTCTTCTTATTCTCTTTTATTTATTAAAGTTAGTTCTTAAATATAATTCTCTAAATCGCCGTTTAAATAATAGTAAGTTAACATAATTTTGGTACTTGGTATACAATCCCGGTGGAAACGATACTCTTCTCATTCTGTATTACTTGTTGCGTCGTACATTTGCGAAAATTTCAGAAATTGCTGAGAAGTGATATGCTAGGCCAACAAGAGAGAGTCTGTCTCCAAAATCAATGAGGTCAAACCCATCTTGAGATCTTTTCAAGGTCCAAAACCACATTAATAAACCGAGTACCTGAACCCAGAACTTCAACTTTCTCGTCCCGAGCAACAAATCCATAGCCATTGCCTATTGACTCTTTAATCGATGCATCTACATTCAACTTAACCCAGCCATGGGGGGCGGCTTCCATCACTGTTCGGACTTAGTAGCTTGCAGACCAGGTTGAGACAAAAAAATTTTTATCAGCAAAATAAATTAAAGCAAAATAAATTAATTTTATTAGATATCCAGAAAAAACTTATTAAACTCGAGCAATAATCCCAAGTCAATAGACTCCCTCAATACACCCAATCTAGCTAGAAAATGATAAGTGAAAAACCCAATCCATATTACATCTAAACAAAGAAAACAAGTTATAAAATAAAAGCCTATTCTTGAGATAATTAGCTTGTCGAAAATTTAAGATGCATACAATTGCCATTTGCGAAACCTCGACAATAAACAGTCTCTTATGTTCAAATTTTAACAAATTCTGCGCACGCCCATATTGCCCATGCTGTCATCAAGAATAGCTCAATCTACTATTTTTGGAACTTACTTATAATAGTTGCAAACCATTCCATGAAACTCAAGGCTTGATACTTAGAAGTTGTAAGTCTCAATGGCGAATATTTCCACACTTGTTGGGCTAAAATACAATCCTTCAACGCATGGATAACACTCTCGATACGCAAGCCACAGACCTCGCCAACTACATCAATTAGCATTCCTCGTTGCACCAGTGAATCTGTCGCTGGAAGATGGTTTTTGCAGGCCCTATGGACGAAGTGTTTAGCTTTAGGCAGGATATTTTGCTGCCACAGTTGTTTCCAAGCAGTACTAACCGGAACAGAAGAAGAAGCATATGATCGGGAAAGGCTATCTTCATGTAACAGTCTATAGCCACTCTGAACTATGTACTTACCATGCTTCGAAAGAGGTCAAATCCTGACATCCGAATTGCGCCTTAAACCGAGAGGAATAAATAAGATTTTCCTCATTTCTTTTAGAGCAAAGATAGCCGAAATCAAATCCACATTCCATTGTTTAGGATTTTGGAGGATAAGATGACTCATAGTAGCATTCTCATTTGAAATCGTAGGTCGAGAAAGAATTCTATGTTGATTTGTAGCCGCAAGTCGTTTATCCTTCTATATCCTAATAGTTGACTCGTCACCTACAATCCATCGACTTTCCTGTTGGATCACTCTGTTATGCATATGCGATCTCATGACATCCGTTGTATGATTTTTTCCATCACTATATATATTTTTTCCCATCACTATATATATATATATATATATATATATATATATATATATATATAGTATATATATATATGAAGTAGGACATCTCATCCATGTACGATCTCTTTTTATTTGAAGTAGTACATTTCGTTATTTACATTTCTTGATTGATTGAAGTTTTATTTTTAGTTATATTTGAAAATTAAAAACGTATATTTAGATCTATAGAATGCTATTTTACAAGTGATATATAGAGAACTGCTTAGTTTATGGTTTGGCTTTGTGTTAGTATTCTATGGAGTTTGTGACAATTTCTATTTTGAAGATTATTCATCATAATATGCATTGATATTTGTTCGGTTTATGGATGGGACTATAAACTAAGTTTAGATAATTGAATTTCATAATTTATTTTGTAATAGATATTATCTTTACATATTAAACTAGATATTTTTTATTGAATTCTTTTTTTTACATTATATAATAGCGTGTTGAATGTTCCAAGCTTTTCAGCTAACTTTCAGCGTTTTAACGAAGTCAAAATTCTATTTCTATTAATTGTAGCTATCAATAACGTAGCTTTTATAATAGTTTTTATAAGTTGAGGGAGTTTTTTTATGAAGCGTTAAATACTTTAACGTTTAGCATTTAGTTTTTAATTAAATTTTTTTGATAATCATACTCATCTTTTTTCCTCCGAATTCAACTAATTAAACAACTAACGTCATTTTTTATCATTTTAAGTTAAAAAGTTATTTTACTGAACATTTCTAATTTAAACTGTTAAATAAATAGCTACCAGCTATAAGCTAACAGCTAACAGCTAACAGCTAACCGCTACTAAAACAGCTAATATTTTCGAACATACCCAAAATCAAAACAAATGCTGGAATTGGACCAAAACCAAAATGATCTAAGTTCTAATATTCTAGGACTGAAACTTATGATTCAGATTAATGATCTGGTAAGGGTTTAATTGTGAGCACTGCAAATTAAACTCAGGAAAAATGTAAAATAAAAATATTTTGTAATCATTTTGTTTGGTAAGAAAAGAAAGTTTTACCGCTTCTTTCGCATAATGACCGTTCTTTCGCATTAATGAATACAGAAAGACCTTCCTTCGCTGGTGTTTCTTCCTCTATATTTCAGAATAAAAATCTAATAATGCTTCAAAATACACCTTCATGTAATCTGGAAGTTGATCTTTCATGCTAATATCCCAGCTGAAAGTCAAATTACATTGAAAAAAAAAAAGATTAATTATAGTTCGTAAATCTTGCTTATGAATTAATTAATTAAGGGATGTGTACTTCATTAACAAATTAACCTTTCAATCACTTTGGTGAAAAGCTCAAGTTCTTCAATTGTGCCATGCACATCATAAATATCATCCATTACAGACAGCATTGCAACGGCTTTAGACAGTACTTTTCTAGCAAAAACGAAGTGTGGCTCAGAAAATGTTCCTAATGCCCAAAACGAACATTTGATCACTCTGTCTCGAGCAAAGGGGAGTTTTAATGTGAAATCCAAGTCTATCCACCACCTGAGATTCACAAATCAATTAATTTCTTTTCTTGTTATTTCTTTTCTTGTTATTTGAGAAGGTAGTGTATATATAGGCTAAAAATGATAATTCTCATCAAATATAAGGACCATAGTGCATATTAAGACAGATCTGAGGAGTAGTTTGTATTTAATCCTTTAAAATAGCTTACTTTGTGATGCTGCTCATATCCTTCTGATGCAATTTATGTACTATATTGTAATCCAGTTTAGCCAGCTTCAACAGAGTTTCACTATGTTCCTCGCGTTGCTTGTAGATAGAGAACTAATGCCAAGCCTCTTTCCTGGGTAAGCCCCTACGCACAGGCCACGTTAAGGCATGGCTAACTTGATCAGAAAGAGGAGAACTCAATTGGGTTGCTATAAGGTGAGTTTTAGTGAACTCAAAAGCTTCATCTAGTATGGTTTCTCCTTGTATACTGAGATATGAAGCTTCATATAAGCTTAGCAAACCTTGCACATCTTTGATTAGATATTCCTTAAAGTTACCTTATGAATCCTTGAACTTGTTAAAAACATCTGTTCCACCCACAAAAAATTGAAACATTATAACCCTCTTCTCATAATTTTATATTTTATATTTTTTCTTTTTAAGGATTAGAAGTACGGGGACTTACCAGTTGAAACATTATAACCCTCTTGTCTTAGTAGCCGAAATCGAAGAGCAACAGTATAAAGATCGTCATCTTCATTCGGATTTTGATAAGTAGTATAAATTTGTTTCAATGCTGCTTCTATTTCTTCTTCAAAATGGTAAGCAATGCCTAGTCTTTGAATTGCATCTATCAAGTTGAGTTGCTCTAAAGGTTTATCAGCTGAAGAGCTAAGCATTTCCCTCACTTCTTTTTTAAGAACTTCGGCTTCTTCACTCCAAACACTTTAAGAACTTCGGCTTCTTCACTCCAAACACTCACTATCTGCAGAAAATCTTAAGAAGCAAAAATCATACTGTTTCTAAAAGAATTAAACCATTTCATGGAAATTAATTGATATTTGAACATTTATTTTGAGAAAGTAAAGATGAGTTGCTAAATGCTTTACTTCACTGTCCGAGACACGCTTGATGAAGTAGTCACCCCCGACGGACGGGTGGGTGAAACTCTGCTGTTCGACGAACTTGAGCTCTTTGCGTTGCAGCTTGAACGGCCATTTTTTATGTTTTGTGTTTTGCAATTGAGAAGAAGGCTGAAAAGATAAGTAATAGCCTCGTGAAATGAATTAGTGTTTCAAGGCTTTGACACTATATATATAGATAGGGGTGTCAAAATGAGTCTGACACACGAATACAATTCACCTAACACGAGAAATAAACAGGTTAAAATTGAGGTTAAACAAGTTCTTATCATAAACGCATTACCCATTTATAACACAAATGTAAACGTGTCGTGTGGTGGGTTTGACATGCGGGTTAGGAGAATAACCCGTATATTTAAGAGTAAAGAGATAATTTTAGTGTTAAATATAAATACTATAAATAAAACCTATTTAAACTTTATTTTAGTTATGAATTTTGAAAAATCTATGCATTTTACGTATGAAAAATTATTTTTAAATATACTTTGAGTTAAATAGGTTAAAATTTAAAAATATTATAAGCAGGTTAAATGAGTCATATACAGGTCATCACGACCCACTTAACCTATTTATGATATTAGACGAGTTACACGTGTCGTGTTTGTGTTACTGCCTAATTCTTCATGTCGTGTTCGTGTCACCAAATTTGACACAATTATTAAATGGATAGTGTTCGTATTGACTTTAATCGTGTCTCGTTAGGCGAACATGTATTGAACCCGACATGCCAACCCGTTTTGACACTCCTTATAAAGAGAGAGTGTGAAGCTAAAGCTTAGGGAGTGACAAAAAATAGTTTTGAAAAGTAAATGGGAACTTATGAAAAGTTAAAATTTCTTAAGGTCTTAACACCGAATTAAATAGGAATTAGGAAAATATAATTTTATCCTTGTATAATATATAGTATCATCTTTACATATTTAGAAATACACGGTTTTGTTTGTCACTATTTTTTATCTTTTTTTTTTTTTTTTTAGAAAACAATAGAAATACTATAAACTTAATGAAAGTTTGTCGACATAAACAAATTGTTCTATGGAATGGGATGCCTCCTCCATCGACATAATATCATCTAAGGAATTAAAAAGCTAGCCTAGATAGCTCATTTTTATGAGCTACCTATTTGTAGCTCTACCAATACCTATTTGTAGCTCTACCAATGTGGGTATGTTGGAGTATGTGGATAATCCCAAATCGGATAACTATAACTAACTAAAAGGGCATATAATGTGAAGGGTGAATCAATCAAAATGACTTAAGTCATTTTGTGTTAAAGGTAAACCCAACTCATTATAAGCCCAATATTAAACATATAATTGAATTTGTTTTAATTAATTTTCTCCTAAGGCCTAGATTATCAACAGGGTACACATAAAATTTCTAAAGTTTTTAGCTAACATATCAGTATTTGATACCCTTGTTCCAAGGTTAAAAGTAGGAAATCGCTGAGAAGTGATATGCTGAGTTAGGCCGAATGTTCAAAGCTTGTTGCATCTGCTTTTGCCTCTTCTGGAGCCAAAACCATATTAATAAACCGAGTACCCGAAGCCAGAACTTCACCTTTCTCATACCTAGCAACAAAACTATAGCCACTGCCCACTAACTCCCTGATCGATGTATCTATATTCAACTTAACCCAGCCATGGGGGGCGGCTTCCATAATTGTTCAGACTCGGTAGCTTGCGAACCTGGTTAAGACAAATTAGCTTGATGAAAATCTGAGATGCATGCAATAGCCATTTTCGAAACCTCGACAATATACAGTCTCTTATGTTGAAATTTTAACAAATTCTGCACGCACCATATTGCCCATGCTGTCATCAAGAATAGTTCAATCTGCTCTTTTTGGAACTTGCTTATAATAATTTCAATCCATTCCAAGAAAAGAAACTCAAGGCCTGATACTCAGAAGTTGTAAGTCTCAATGGCGAATATTTCCACACTTGCTGGGCTAAAACACAATCCTTCAACGCATGGATAACACTCTCAATACCCAAGTCACAAACCTCGCAAACTACATCAATCTGCACTCCTCATTGCACCAGCGAATTTTCCATTGAAAGATGGTTTTTGTAAGCCCTGTGGACGAAGTGCTTAATTTTAGGAGGGATATTTTGCTGCCACAGATGTTTCCATGGAGTAGTATTAACTAGAACAGAAAAAGAAGCGTATGATCGTGAAAAGCTATCTTCATGTAATAGTCCATAGCCACTCCAAACTGTGTACTTACCATGCTTCAAAAAAGGTCAAGCCATGACATCTGAATCGCGCCTTAAATTGAGAGGAATAGATAAGATTTTCCTCATTTCTTCTGGAGCAAAGATAGCCAAAATCAAATCCACATTCTATTGTTTAGGATTATGGAGAATAATATGACTCATAGAAGGATTATGGAGAATAATATGACTCATAGAAGTATTCTCATTTAAAATCTCAGGTGGAGAAAGAATTCTAGGCTGATTTGTATCCACAAGCCATTTATCCTTCCAGAGTCTAATACTTCTTCAAGAGTAATTTGGGTTATAACCCAACTTATCTTCTAAAAAAGATGTATGCGAAGAGTACTTTGCCTTAAGCATACGGGACGGTAAAGAATCAGGGTCTTCAATTATTCGCCTCCCTTGCTTAGCAAGAAGTGCCAAATTAAAATCTCTAATGTCTCTAAAACACCACTCCATCTGTGAATTTGGACACACTCAATTTGTCACATGTACACCAATGGATTTTTCGCTCCTCCTACTGCTGACCCCACCAGAAATTTCCTCCTACTGCTGACCCCACCAGAAATTTGCCATTAAGCTCTCTATCTGCCAACTTATCTCCATAGGGAACAAGAAATAACTCATGGTATAGTTAGGGATGGCTTGAGCTACAGTTTTGATGTGCACTTCTTTTCCTGCTTTTAATAATGTCCTCTCCTTCCATCCTTTAAGTTTCTTCTCCACTCGGTCACAAATTAATTGGAATACCTATTTTTTACTTCCTCAAATCATAGTTGGTAATCCCAAATATTTGGACTGGTGCCAGACTGCGGACACTCTAAGCTTGGTCTTCACCAACTCCTGCACCACAGGCAAAGGACTCCGACTGAAAGAAATTTCTAATTTGTCGAAGTTGACCTGCTGCCCTAAAGTCGTAATTGTATAATATACACACCACTTTTTGGTTTCAATCTTGTCTATCATGTATATGATTTTTTACGATTCAGGCTTATCTGTTCCTTTTTCCACAGCTTGGTTACACGAAAAAGCAAGAGGAGAGGCATTTTCGTGGCGTCATCACTTTGGAGGTATGGGAAGCCTCACTTGTTGGATTTTGTGATTTCAGTCAATTATGCTGTTTGGATATTCAGGCATCCCTTTCAATATCTTTAGACTTTATTACCTTAGTGCTGTAGGGCGCATAAAAAGTTTCAGAGAGTAGGACTACCTATTCTGGAGGAACTACCTGCTTCGTCCCTTCTTTCTGAAGTTAACCCTTATTTTATTAATAGGGAGTTTCCCAGTATATTTAATTAACTTGGATCAAGAGTAGAGATAATATGTGAAATCAAAGTTTTATATGCAATAATGGTTAGTTGTTTATACTTTCTTAAGCTGGATTTGTTGTCAACCAAAATATAACAATTTCAGGTATCAAAGCACGTGTAAATTGGTTGCTGTGGTAACCTTGTGAAAGGTCAATTGCAGTTGTATTGTTGAGATGGATATGACAATCTAAACTCTAAGGGCCTCTTTGGTTGTTGAAAGTAGATGTCAGTTATTACGAGTTTTCATTGAAACTTTAATTTTGATTTTCTATGCACAACATAGAAAATTTGGAGAATATGTTCATTTGTAACCAAAAATCGTTTTCCAGTGGAGAAAACTAGAAATATTTTCAGATTAACTATTTTCTATAATCAAAGAGTCAAAAAGTTAGAAAGGATTTTTTCTTTTTTTTTTTTTTTTTTTTCAAAAAAGTTAGAAAGGATTTTTTCTTTTTTTTTTTTTTTTTTTTTTTTTTTTTTTTTTTTGTATTTTCATATAATTTCTACTATATGTCAGGAATTAAGCCGTCATTCAATCTTTTCTATTACTGTTGAAAAAATCTAGAAGGTTTTCGTTGCTTCTGATATTAAAAGAAACAGAATATATTAAGGTAAAGAGTAAACAAAATCTAGAAAGGGAAAGCGTTGAAGGTTTTTAATAGAATGAAATAAAGAACAATTAAAAAAATAAGGTAGGGGCAAGAAGTAACCTACCACTATGTAGCTAACAAATGAAAAAAAATAGTCCGAATATATCATTTTATTCCTAACTTTCACAAAAAGGCATTATGGCCCCTCTGAACTTTGAAATGACCCTGTGACATCGTAAACTTCACTTTTTCACCTTATGTGCTTCTGGATTTTATTTTTTGTATCTCACACCTTGTAGGTTGAAAAGTGAATAAGCTTCAGGGGCCTACAAGTGCAGAAAAATATAAGTTTAGGGGGTCACAAAGTTAAAAAGTGAAGTTTAGGGGCTACAAGGTTATTTTTAAAATTCAGGGGGGACACGATCTTTTTGTGAAAGTAGAGGGGTTAAATTATATATTTGGCGAAAAAAGAAAAAGGAAAAATCAAATGAGCAAGGAGCAACTAATGAAATAATAATAATAATAATAATAATAATAATAATTAATAATAATAATAATAATAATAACAACACAATTAAAGGAAAAAAGTGGTATTGATATGTTTTGAAACTCAGCTAATGGCAATGAAACAAATGTAAACATGGGAAATTAGGATGTTTTGTAAGTGGTGGTGGAAATTGTGGAGGGGCCTTTGTTGGGGGGAAGGTATATTAAGTTGTATTTATCTATGTATTTATGTATTTATTTATTTTGGTGTTCTCTAGCATATACATCTTTACTAGAACTGAAGATTGTGGCCATTACCCACTTTAAATTGTTTGTTGGTTCAGAACTCTTTATATGTTAGCCTACGATTTGCTATTAGCAGCATCACTAATAATCTCTAGAACTGACTCCATCCCATGATGGCACCTCATATTTACATATGCTGCTTACTTTTGGGATCTGCTTACTTTTGGGATTTTTAATTGTTTTCGATTTTGGCATTGCATACCAAGAGTTGTTTTTTCCTATGCTCAGGAATGCACTATTGAAGAGGTCTCTGATGAGGAAGGGCCACCTCCCTCAAAGAGTTCGAAGGATAAAAAGGCCAACGGACCAGATTCTAAATCTTCTAGTCTTGTGTTCAAGACAACTAGCAAGGTTCCATATAAAACTGTTCTGAAAGGTACATGATTTAGGTTGTCATACTTCAGCTAGGTGAATTTTTCAATTGGTGCTATTTCAAACTCTTATTGCTGTCAGGTTAATGTCCTTTTATCTTTCAGGTTAATGTCCTTTTATCTTGCAGCCCACAGTGCTGTTGTCTTGAAGGCTGAGACGGTGGCTGACAAGGTTGAATGGATAAACAAGATGTCAAAAATTGCACAAGTTTCAAGAGGACAAACAAGGAATGCATCTCCTGAAGGTGGTCATACCATGCGGCAGAGTCTTTCTGATGGTTCTTTAGTATGTTATTGAGTGCTACTCCACCATTCTACTTTCTTATTATCAATTATTTTGGTTTTACCTGAAGTACCCTTTTTGTATGCTCTCTTGGGTAGAAGTACTTATGGTCTGGTCTTTTTGTTTTTCTTCATTATTTAACAGTTGTCAGTTTTCAGTTGTCACTTGCACTTACCGGTTACCTGTTAATTTTTATGTTCCATGGAATAAAAATACACTAGATTTTGGAGATTGTTGGGTTAGCTTTGCAAAATTCTCAAATGAAAATTGGTTTTCGGTTTTGTGCAGGATACAATGGTTCGGAGACCTGCAGACCCTGAGGAAGAGCTCAGATGGATGTCTCAGGAAGTGCGTGGTTATGTTGAAGCAGTCTTGAATAGCTTGGCTGCTAATGTTCCCAAAGTTAAAACGCAGGAGAGAGCGCTACCAGAAACAGTCCTCTCTGCTCTCTAAGTTAACACGCCAACTCAGATTCATGACAACCGGGCAGCTGCTGCTTCTAATTGGTCGAATGGTAGTGCAGGTATGTTGGAAAGAGCCTGTAATATGTTGATGATGTTGTGATTGGTAAGCAGGCTGTTGTTCTTTGCCAAGTTGAGAAGGCCAAGGAAGATATGCTAAATCAGTTGTATAGCTCTGTCAGGTTTGATGAATTATCTACTGCTGAAACTCATTTTTGCTGTACTGGGAACTTGTTCCATGGCTTTTTATTGGCTTCATTTTATGGTTACAAGTCTCCTTGTCTCTCTCTTCATGTGATTCTTTTTTTCTTCCATTGTTATAGTTCATATAGATGTCCTATGCATATTCTGCAGATGGATCAAATATAAAGTTGTTCTTATTTACATCTTTTCTGTTTGATTTATGGCTAGTGCTCAAAGCACGGCAAGGATTGAAGAGCTACTTCAAGAGGATCAGAATGTAAAACGCAGGAGAGAGCGCTACCAGAAACAGTCCTCTCTGCTCTCTAAGTTAACACGCCAACTCAGCATTCATGACAACCGGGCCGCTGCTGCTTCTAATTGGCCAAATGGTAGTGCAGGTATGTTGGAAAGAGCCTGTAATATTTTGATGTAGGATTTCTTTGAAGTGTTTTAATGGTGTCATTTTTTGGGTAAATATTTTGATTCTAATGTGATAGTGTTGATTTTTATAGTGTTTTTATTATAATATTTGTTAGAATTTTAGTAAGTTTTTATTGCTTTAATTTGGTTTTAATCACTTTTAGCATAATTATGATTTAGCATAATTAATGATAAAAGCGTCCTTGAATCTTTAATCCGCTTGATCTAAAGAGAAAATTGTAGAATTGGGTGCAGAAAAGAACTTTAGAAAAAACAGAACACTCAGCTCTAGCAACGCCCTAAGGCGTGCTTAAGTGCACGACGCCCAAGTCGCGCTACGAAGCAAGTCTCAACAAAGAAAAGTGGCAAGTCCGCGAGTGCGAAACTTTCAAAATGCGTCGAGCCGCGACAATCAGAAAAGAGAGTCAGAAGATTTTGCAAGAAAAGCTCGCGAGCGCACTTTTCCAATATGCACGGACGCGAGCTGAATCGCGAAGCGCGACTTAAAATGCGCAGGCCGCGACAAGCAGACTGAGTAATCAGAAGCAATTGTGAACGCAGAAGA